TGACAAATAAAAATTGTGTTTTCAGGGTGTACAATGTGTTGATTTGATGAGTATACACTGCGAAATAATTACCACTGTTGAACTAATGAACACATCATCAACACATATTTACCATCTTTTTCTGTGTGTGTTAGCAAATTTCAGACAGACAATACAATATTGTTAATTATAGTCTCCATGTGATTAAAGTCCCAGAACTCATTCATCTTATAACTGAAAGTTTGTACCCTTGACTGTTGTTTTTAATCTTTAAATTGAGACTTAAAATATATGCAGTAAAATGTGCAGAGTGGACACATAAGTGCTCAAGTCGTTGAATTTTATTTAATTATTTAACATATTTATTTTAAATAAATAGAGACAGGGTCTTGCTATGTTGTCCAGGCTGGTCTTGAACTCCTGGGCTCACACAATCCTCCCACTTCGGCCTCTCAAGGTGTTGGGATTACAAGCATGAGCCACTGTGCCTGGCCAATTGTTGAATCTTAATACATGCATACACTCACCTACCCACTTTCCAGATCAAGATGTGTCAAGGCTTCACCCCAGAAGCCTCCCCCGCCTCCTCCCCATCAGTGCCACCCCAGAGGTAGCCAGTATTTTGACTTCAATCATCATCAGTTGATTTTTCCCTGTCCTCGACTTTCATATAATCAGAACCACACAGTATGTCCTCCGAAAGAGACACTTTTAAAAGAAAATGAAATTTTATCACCAATATTTGGCAAGCTTAAACCCATATCCTCATTTCCAACCCCAGCCTTCCCTGCCATTGGTGGGAAAGAGTTCAAAAACTGAATTGGGTGAGTTATAGCAAGTCAAACTACATTTTTCCTTGCATATCTGAGTCACACGGGGTCACTTTCAATCAACTGCTAGTTGTGAGCCTAGAAAGAGGGACCCAGGTGAGTTAGGGTCCCTGCCCTATGCTTAAGAGCCATTGCCAAAGATCAACTCAGGGAAATGGGCAGTTCCGTGCCCCATCCTCTTCCCTACTCACTTCCGCTTCATACTAGAAGTGAGACTCACTCAATGTCCAGTTTCCCCACCCTTGGAGAGCTCACGGGGAATGCAGTGCGTCACTCACGCAGCCACGTGCTGCTCTGCAGCTGGGAAGGAGCACTCTGGAGAAAACTGGGCGTGTGTCCTGATGCTCTTCTCACCCTCCAAATCCCCAGCATCCCCCAGATGGACTGCTATTGACCTTTACCATCCATTTGTTTCCTTTTCTTTTCCTCCTTCTTTCTTCTACAAAGGCCTCCTGCTTTGAAAATGAGGCATACCCAGGGAAAACAGGTTTCAGGTCAGCTCTGGTTCAAAGGGTGGGTCCCTTCCACTCCGACAAGTTTGATCCCCTCATTCTGCCCCTGTCCCTGCCCCTCCTCATGTGTGCGCCCTCTGATCTTACCGACTCAGCTCACTCCTCCGCCTTGATCCCTGTAGGGTACATTTCTCCAAATGGCCCTGCAGAAAGCACAGTGCGGAGATGCCCCTCCCTGGGGAGGGAGGACCCAAAGCTCTGGCCTCTCCTACTCAGCATCAGCTATAAATGCCACAGATACGCTTGCGAGGAAAAAAGAAGAAAAACAAGAAGCCAAACTGTGGAGCAATCTGGGGGCTCCCTGCAACCATCCCACCTGCCTACAAGGCTTACCCTGGCAGTGGCTGGCCTTTGGGTCTTTTTGTGCAACTTTATTTTCTATCAAGGCCCAGGGGGTTTGCCCCTTGTCTCTCTGCCTCTTTGACCTATTCTTCCTTTGGAACCCAGGCATCTAAATGACAATTTCTATGTGCATCATTTAGAGATGAGAAGAGGAAACATTTCTCCAGCCTTCTGGTTCCTGTGGCTGCTTCTCTTTGGACTTCTGGGACCCAGTAAGTTACTTAGCAGTTAAGGAAGGAGAGGGGCATGGAGGCCACATACAGCCTGAAGGAGAAGGGGGATCCCCTGTCTAGGCATGACTCTTCTTCCAGAAACGATGATGATTCTTTTTTTTTTTTTTTTGCCCATTTCTGCAAAAGCCAGTACTGATCCCAATTCCATTGACCATGACTCTGATGCTATCTGAGAAGCAAATCTGTATTAGTCTCCCCGAGCTGTGACTGTGAGCACAAGTTGTGGGACGGTGAGGGGCGGTGCTGGGGAAATGAGGTGAGGGTGAGACTTTTACTTTCCTTTGTATCTTGGATAAAAGTTTTGTTTTTAACTGGAAAATTCTAGTTCCAATGGCATTCTTAATTCCAAATTAAAACCAGGATCTCAGTCTAAAGTCAAGTAAAAATCCTTCAATCCTTCTTTGTTTGTTTTCCATAGGTTATCGGGGTACAGGTGATATTTGCTTACATGAGTAAGTTCTTTAGTAGTGATTTGTGAGATTTTGGTTCACCCATCACTGAGCAGTATACATTGCACCCACCCTATTGGTAGTGTTTCATCTCTCGTCCCTCCCCTGTCCTTCCTCCCTAGTGCCCAAAGTCCATTGTATCATTCTTACGCCTTTGAGTCCTCATAGCTTAGCTCCCACATATCAGTGAGAACATACGATGTTTGGTTTTCCTTTCCTGAGTTACTTCACTTAGAATAATAGTCTCCAATGTCATCCAGGTCGCTGCAAATGCCGTTAATTCATTCCTTTTTATGGCTGAGTAGTATTCCTTCATATATATATGCCAGTTTCTTTATCCACCTGTTGATTGATGGGCATTTGGGTTCCATGACTTTGCAATTGTGAATTGTGCTGCTATAAACATGTGTGTGCAAGTATCTTTTTCGTATAATGACTTTTTTTCCTCTGGGTAGATACCCAGTAGTGGGATTGCTGGATCAAATGGTAGCTCTACTTTTAGTTCTTTAAGAAATCTCCACACTGTTTTCCATAGTGACTGTACTAGTTTACATTCCCACTAGCAGTGTAGAAGTGTTCCCTGATCACCGCATCTACGCCAACATCTACTTTTTTTTTTTTTTTTTTTGCTTCAATCCTTCTTTGGATGCTGCCTGAGTCCAAATCCATGTCTAATCCCCTGAGAATTTCCTTAATAGGAACAAATTGGAGGTCAGCCACTGAGGGGTTGGCTCTGGCATTGGATCAGAGGTGACTGTGAAAGGAAATAGCCCAGGAGAGAAGTGAACGGGGCTCCGTCCTGGGCTCCGTGTGATTCCAACGGACTGTCTGAGAAAGTTCCGTTCACTCCTGTCTTTGATTTCTTACATCAAAGTATCTTCCCTAATTATAAGACACCAGGTTAATCAGCTTATCCATTCCATTGCCTTTACTGTAGGATAGCACTTCAAGAAGTGGGAGGTGTGGTTGAAAGAGAAGGTCTAGGTTGGATGATGTGGAGGATTTGGGGTGCTTCCCCCTTCTTCCTCAGTATGCGTCTGTTTCCTGCACCCTACTGTGGATTCGCTCCCTCACACACTTCAGCACTTCTTTTTCTTCCCTTTCCTGTTGCCTTCATCCTGAATGCTTCAGCTGTTCTCTACCTACCCATGCCTTCCAGATCCACCCGTCGCCTGTCCTAATCCCGAACTCCAGTCCTATCTGTCTGATTTTAAGCAAGAGTCCCCTTACCTCAGAAGAAACTGTCATTCATGTAGTCATTCAACAGACATGTATAGAGCTCCTCCTCTGGGCCAGGCACTGCTGCGTGCTAGGCCACGGTGAGGAATGGAGTGGGAAATGCCATGGTCTTGGCCCCCGTGGAACTCTTGGTCTACTGTAAAACATAGACTTAAATAATATTCCCTTACAAAAGGGAACAAGCATGCAAGTGCTGACAGGCACCTCCTCTTTTCCCACCACTAGGTCTATAAAGTGACCCACTGTCTCTCCTGTAGCCCCATTACATTGGATTAGCAAGGACCAACTCCTCCATTTGAACGCTGGGTGCCTTCTCATCCTCCTGCCGTCTCAGGGGCTTTGCTCAGTGCATTTCTCCTTTCCCTCCTGTCTTTTTCTTGAGTCCTTTTCATCAGCATCCAAACAAGCTCAGTTCTGTATGCACAAGTATCATCCAAGGAGATGATTAAAAACTTGAGTTTCCAGGTCCTGACACCCCACCAAGCAAGATCTTGATTCAGTAGGCTTGGTGGGATGGCGTGGGTTCCTCAGACAGTGTGACCCCAGAAGTCCCTGGACCAAACACTGTTTGAATGATGTCCATCTTAACGTCCCCGCTTCACTCCTCAGCCACCGCCTCTCCCTCCGCTCTCCTTCCTCGCTCCCATTCTTTTTTTTTTCTTTGGAGATAGAATCTCGCTCTGTCACCCAGGCTAGAGTGCAGTGGCACAATCTTGGCTCACTGCAACCTCCTTCTCCTGGGTTCAAGCGATTCTCCTGCTTCAGCCTCCCGAGTAGCTGGGACTACAGGCGCACACTGCCACACCCAGCTAATTTTTTGTACTTTAATAGAGATGGGGTTTCACTGTGTTGTCCAGGCTGGTCTTGAACTCCTGAGCTCAGGCAGTCTACCTGCCTCATCCTTCCAAAGTGCTGGGATTACAGGTGTGAGCCACCATGCCCAGCCCCTCACCCCATTCTTGAAGGCCTTCCCCACATTTGCTATGTCACTTCTCACTTCCCATTCACTTGTTGATTTTATTTTATTATATTAGGTAGTGCATGTAAGTAGTTCCGAAAAAGAAAAACTTGTAGTCCTACAAGTCTTCTCATAAAACTTCAGCCCCTGACTCCCTTTCCCCAACTGCTTCTTACTCTGAGTCCTACTTCCCAGGGTTCCTGTTGGCATTTACCTTCATACTGCATTTATCTATTTATTTAGAGACAGGGTCTCGCTCTGTCACCCAGGCTGGAGTGCAGTGACACCATCATAGCTCACTGCAGCCTGGTACTCCTGGGCTTAAGGAATCCTCTCACCTCAGCTTTTCAAAGCACTGGGATTGCAGGCCTGAGCCATTACACCCAGTCATAAATTCTCTTACTACCATTACTTCTTTGTTGGTTGAGGTTTTTTTTTTTCCCTGCTTCGGGAATGATTTATTGTCTTCCTTCTAATGAAAAGGAAGATTTAGGTTAGACTACTCCCTCTGAACACTTATGTCTCACGTTCCAGCTCACAATTCTCCCCAAATGATTGTACCAAATTTTTGGTGTTAAATTTGCATTTAGCATTTACATTATGATAACTATAAATGTTACCTCTAGTAACATTTATAACTGGGTCATATAATTGCATTGTGATGACATTATAATAACTATAAATGTTACCTCTAGTAACATTTATAACTGGATCATATAATTGCATTGTGATGACCATCCGTTCTTGTAATTTTTGTTTTTCTAGATATTAACAATAGCCTCATTTTTAAAATTTCCATAGTTTTCTTCATATATACCATTAATTTATCCTGAAACCTCTACCAGAATTATCCCTGCCTTTTCAATACACATGAGGCAATCTATCAGTTTCACTTTTTTCCCTTGAGCAATCCCATTTGGAAGCCTCTGTCCAACCAGTATTGGTTGCTTGCTAGGTCTCTTGTCCTTCCTGCAATTTGTATTCAGCAATGTTCTGGAAATTCCCTTTTTTCCCTTGTAAATTCCTATCTTTTTTCTGGATTTATTTTTCCATCTCAGGGCAGCACTTTCTCTAGAAGCTTCTTGAGAGAGAGTTTATGGTGGAAAATTATTTTAAAACCTTATGCAATGTTAGGGTAATGCTAAGCTGCTGTAACAAGGAGATCCCGAAAGTGACTTTGAAAAATAAACAAGTTTATTTTTCTCCCTTGTACCAGTCCTAAGATAAGTATTATAGGATGGTTGGAGCTCTGCTCCATGTAGTCATTCAGGGATCCTGGGTGACTATGACTGTTCCATCTTCAACATATGGTTTCCAGTGTCATCATCATTTCAGCCCAAGGAGAGGGCAGAAGAACAGTATTTTGTGTTATTTTATGATACAGTCAGTCAAGGTGCAGCCACAAGAGGAGAGGCTCACAGGCCCTAGAGACAGGAGGCATGGCACTGCCATGCTGGACCACCTGAGAAAGACACCAAGGTAGTCAGGAGGCAGAAGACAGGAGTGAAGGAAAGGTTTATTTAGGTCTTTCCTTTTATTGGAGTTTCTGTGGGAAAGGCAAGGAAAGGCAGGCGAACAGTTTAGGATTGGCTGGTTTGAATAATTCCTGTTTTCTTTGAGCTATATAGCTGATTACTACCTAGTTGCCTGGTACTTGGCTTTGGAATGACTAAGGCAGATAAATATTGTTTCCTGGAGTATATAGGCCAGATAGAGGAGCTATGGCTCTGGAACGGTTAGTTTGCATATCAGCTCATGCTCCTGGCTGGGCCCTTTGCTGCTTCTAAGAATTGGCTAGCCTGGAAGGTGCTATCTCTCCCTAGCTAGAAAAGTTTGTTAAGATGTGAAAACATGATAATATACAGAAAATAAAAATATATATACAAGCAGAAATCAAGGAATAGGTATTTACTCTTAAAGAAATGAAATGGAAATTAATATGTATTCCTTCCCTTTAGGGGCCTCTGACTAGGGCTTAGACATGTAGCCCTACCTAGCTACAAGAAAGGTTGAGAAATGTAACTTAGCCATGTGCCCAGGAAGAAGAGAAAAATGGCCCTAGTTGTCCATAGACCTTATATGTCTGAAAATGTCTTATTCCACCCTCATATTTGACTCATAGTTTAACTGGTTATAGAATTCTAGGATGGATACGATTTTTCCTCAGGATTTTGAAGGCATTGATCCACTGTTTCTAGATTCTAGATTGTGAAGACTGGTATCATTTAGTTTACTGACCTCTTGTAAGAGACTATTTTTTTTTTCTTCTGGATGATTTCAGATTTTTAAAACTACTGTTCTAAAATCTCATGATATGGTGCCATAGTATGGATTCTTCTTTCATTATGTTAGGAACTTGTACAGTACAAAGTTATATCAGTCAGTTCTGGAAAATTTTTCTTGCTTTTTTTTTCTTTGATAATTGCCTCTCATCCATTTCCTCTGTTCTGTCTTTCTAAAAATCTTATGATTTGGATGTTTGACCTCCCGGACTGACACTAATTTTCTTGTATTTCTTCTTCTGTCTTCCAATTCTGTCATTTTATTTTTCTTTTGGGGAGATTTCCTCAGTTTCTAAAGTCTTCAAATCCTTCTAGTGAATTTTGAGGGTTTTTTTTAAATTTCAAAGAGATCTTTTTTTGTTTACAATCATTTAAAATGGCATCTTTTGTTTGTTGTTGTTGTTTGTTTGTTTTCACTCCTTCTCATGAAGGTGCATCCAGTAAGGTAGAAAGAAAACTCTAAAAAGTGAATCAAGGAAGTCAAGAGAATAGAGAGGCTCTAGAAAAATGTGGTAGTTAGCTGAATATCATTTCGATTACTGACCTTGTGGTGCTATACTTTCTCTTATATTGCTGAGGACATTTGAAGTTGGTTTTGCTATTTGCACTGTCTCAGTTCTCTCTGACTTTGCTTCATAGGGATATTTGTTTTGGTCTCTATATTTCAAGCTAGAGATTTTCCTCAGATATCTGGTAATCCCAGAATGTCCTTTGCATTTGAAAATGAGGCAACAATATGATGCCTGGAAGCTTTGTGTGCAGGGGTAGGGCCTGTCAGCTGGTGAACTTAGCTTTAGGGTAACTTAGCAGAGACGTGGCAGTTTTGATTGGGAAGATCCTTGAAATTTCAGTATCTAGTGTTGTCTAATTTCTTTCCACAAGAAGAATTCTCCAGATCCTGTCTAGAGCATACTAGCATAGCTGCTGAAGTGCTGGAAGCTGAGTAAGGGAAGAGGTAATGAGGGTTTTATAGTTCAGGGTGTAAGCATTTCCTTAATCGCACAGTTTCAGTAAAACTTCTCACTTCTGCCCTCAGCAGTGCCTGAGATCACTGGTCTAGAATTTCTTTGGTTTCAATATCTCCAGAGATAAAATCCTAAGCTGTTAAAAGGGAGAGAGGTGTAGTCATCCAACTCCTTGAGTGGAAGGAGGGATCTGGAGCTGAGAGACAGTCCCTAGCTACACTGTATTTCAACCATCTTTCCTGTATTTAGTCACATGCCACACCCAAATCTTCAGAGGAACCTCGCTGCAACTCCTGAATCTTTCCAGGATTCCACAGAATTAATAATTTATCAGTGGTTGACTTACTCTCACCCCCAGTGGAGGCCTGTATATTGAAGCTTTCTCTTTAGAGAGTTACCACTCATCCTTCTGCTATTATCTTTAAAAAAAAAAATTTATCTCCTCTGCTGTTGTCATCTCTCCATCCTTTGTCCTTGTGGAGGTATGTCTTTTGTTATTTCTCTACTTTTTATTCTTCTGTGAAATCTGTAAGCCTCCATATATACTTATTTATACTTTTATTCATTCCAATTGGAGGCTATCCCATCATGAAAATCTGTTTTCAACAAACTAAACACTCACTTCCATATTGTCTCTGAATCCAGTGGATGTGGTCCAGGCCGTATCTTACTTGATCTCTCTGCAAAAATCAATTCAGCTAACTACCATATTTTTCTAGAGCCTCTCTATTCTCTTGACTTCCTTGATTCACTTTTTAGAGTTTTCCTTCTATCTTACTGGATGCTCCTTCTCAGTCTCATTCATTTGCCTCTCCTCCTCTATCTGAATGACGCAGCAGCCAGAGCTTGGTCTAGCGCCCTCTTCTCCAACTATACCCTCCCAGACAAATGATCTCAGTCAACCTCAAGGCTTTAAATACCATGCATATTTAAATAACTTCCAGTTTTATATCTTTTGTTTTGATTTCTCCTCTGAGAACTAAGTGCAGGTTTCTAACTGCCAACAAACAGTCTCCTGGATATCTAATGGGCACAAAAAGTTCAAAATCTCTAATATTTCCAACCTCCACTTCATCCCTATTCGTTCAGATAAATAAAACAAATTTCCAACTCTCTGTGTAAGCCCCAAAGCCAGAAGTTGTTCTTGACTTCCTTTCCTGTCATCCACCACATGCAGCCTTTCTTT